TGTCTCTCATGTGCTCTTTGCTTGTAGAAGCTGGTGCATCGCCTGACATTTTGGGGAAGAATTACTAAAACTGGTGCACTCAGAATCTGGTGCAGCGGTGCATGGTAGCCAATCAGCTTCTAACTTCACCTTGTTCAATTAGGCTTTGACAATAAAACCTGGAAGCTGATTGGTTCTATTCAGAGCTGCACCAGATTTTGAACTCTTCCGTTTTTAGTAAATAATAACCCCTTTGTGTTAATCTGTACTAATTTGACTTGTAAGCCCGTCTATTTTTTGCATTTAACACAGAACTTTACCAATTTTTCCACTTTCCTGCCTCCGCACCCACTCCCCCTTACAAATTTGCTCACTTAAAATAATGTAATAAAGAAAAACTGTTAATTTTTTTTTTTTATTTTGTAAATCTCAGTCTATGCCAGTGTGACATTGCTGGGCTTGCTGCATGTGGATCCTTCATGGGATGTATGACATAGACATTCCAGAAGCAGTTTTTGAGAGTTTGCACATGTACACATGGTCTATGCTGGAGAACGGGCAGAGACCTGTGGCATATCTACGCTTGTGATGGGGATATGGTACATGTACAGACATGCCTCGGGGTCTCTGCCAGGTTTTGTAGACCTGGAAGAGCTTCATGGAGTGTCTGCACATGCGCCAGATATCCATTAAAGACTAGGAAAAGAGGAGAGGGAGATAGGGTACTTTTGTTTCAAGCCAAAAAATGCTGGACTCCATGGTCTAGTAAGTATGTTTTTTTAATTTTTGCGACAGGGACAAGAGTTATTCAGGCCATAGATCATGTAATTTTAATTCTTTCAGCCACGTGTGGAAGGAAAGAAAATTGCTTGATTCCCTCATCAAAATAGTCAATGTTTATGGGGGAATCCTCCTACAGCATTATCGACTTCTGCCAACGGGAAGCCTTCCCTGCCGGCAGAACACGATAATAAGTGTTGCTGGCCATAGCCAACGGCACTTATCATTCGGGAAAAACCTGACAGGCTAGTTGTACACAAGTCAATTGATAGCTGACCATGGTGCCAGTACATGGATCGAAATTGGTCCGGTCCCTGCTGAACCAGATGAATTTCTATCCATGTATGGCTAAAGACATTTTTTGGGGAAGATTAGGATGGGTTACAATCCTCTTTAATGCTGTAGTAAATCACAAAATAAAAACATTAAAAAATCCTTTCCCTGCAGGTTAAGAGCATAACATGCTACTATGCACCACATACTAGTATATTATGAAAGGCTTCCCTGAAAACGAAGCCCTCCAGAGGCACACTGTCACCACTGACAGGACTTTCATCTTCATCCGGTCTTCCTTCTAAGTTTGCAGGCTCCGGCTGGATGAATGGCCAAGCTCTGATGACATCACTGCTGTGCAAGTACATAGGAGTTATGGCCAAGGGACTGCACCTACTCTACAGGCTAGCTGCTGGTTTAGGTTTAAGGGAACATGTACCCTTGTACCATGAATATGAACCAGTGCAAAAAAATCTTCTTAAAAAATGGTTTTAAATTATCAGCAAATTAAATTTTCCTTGTTGCTCTTAATAAAAAAAGGGGTCCTTTGGAGTCAGCTGTGTGCTGTTTTTCTTTTTTAAAAAGAAACCATCCATAATATACAGTATAAGCAGCCATATTTGAACTGGATAGACTATGCTGCTGCCTGTGGCCCATGGGTATGGGAAGTATGGAAGAAGCCTATGCAGGATGGAATAATTTCAATAAGATGTTTGACAGGGAAGGCAGAAGATAGTGCTGCCCCCCCCCCCCCCCCCCTATATTAGGTCCTGAGTAACCTAAGCACAAATTCAAAATAAACAAAAATGTAGGCTTTATAATAAAATAAATGGAAGTAATAAATTGTGCATTAATTGCATTTTATTATTATTATTATTATACAGTATTTATTTAGCGCTGTTTGCTCAGCGTTGTACATTACAATGGGAGACAATACACGAGACCGTACAAAACCAATACAATGCAAAACATGAGGGTTTGAGGGCCCTGCTCCTTGGAGCTTACAATCTAGGAGGGAGGGGATAGTGGTACGGGAGGAATAGCTGTGGGGGATGGAGTGGTAGGAGGAGTGGAGGAGATCGGCAATTTGCATGAAAGTAGGCATGTCAGTGTGTAGGCAGGTCTCCAAGGGACATGCTGTAGAACACAAGCCACTTCCAGCGGCTTTTGGGAAAGTTTGAAAAGCTTTGAGAGTGCACAAGGATGCCCATTGACTCCTGCTGCTGTCAATCACAGCCAGTGAGCCAATGAAGAGAAAGCAAGGAAGGAGGGGGCGAGTCCGAGCCACGGCTCTACGTGTCTTATGGACACAGAGCAGAGGCCTGGGGAAAAGCACACAGCGGTGCCCCCAGAGTGAGCGGCTTTCCCTGGGGCACTGCTTGAGGGGAAGGAGCCAGGAGAACCGATGGGGACCCAAAAAGAAGAGGATAGGGGTTGCTCTGTGCAAAATCGCTGCACAGACCAGGTAAGTATAGATATGTTTGTTTAAAAAAAAAAAAAAAAAGAAGTATTAGTGTCATTTTAATACCAAAACAGCCAAAGTTGGGTCCAAATCTAAGTATGGATGGAACCATCAGCTCATCCCTAAGTCTGATACAGCTTTCTAATTAGGTGCAATTTATTGCTGAGATTTGTGCACAATTTGATGGTCATCTATGCTCAGCCATATAGTACTTACTTAGTAGTTATTTACTTAGTGGCCATCACATATGCTTTCTGACCTTTTTTCTTCTTCAGGGAATGACTTGCTGTAACTCTGACCTTCATCTGTATCTGCAGCATTGTATATACCTTAGGCTGTAGCTGGGCCTATAACTGGATGGAGGTCTGCTGCAGTGCCAATATGATCACCAGTCAGATGGTGCTAAACACATATGGCTGAGCCACCTTTTTTGCAAAATCTGCAGGAACACAGAGACAGGAAATGACATCATAACCGCATAGTTTCACTAGGAAGAATGTTACATTTTACAAGCATTGAATATAACACCACCACCTAGTGGCATAACTAATAATCGCAGCATATGTGTGAATGGTTGTTGCACCTATGTTTGTATATACAGCATGCTAACAATTTTACTTCTGACTTGGTATTCTGCCAGATCATGTTTGCTGCCTACAAAGCACCCCCTGGGCCTGAGAGTCATCCAGCAACCAAGTCCATTCCTACTATCATTGGCTCTGATGAACATTAGGCACTTCTAGAACCAGACCTTTGGTTAGATTCTTCTTCTAACTGCTCTTGACACAGAAAATCCCCGTTTTACTAATTCCAGTCTTTGCATTTCTGCACGTCAGAAAGTATGTATTGTTAATTAATCTTAGTTTGTTGTTTCTATAATTTCCAGAGGATTTGGTGTAGACACAAGGAGCCAGGGATTTAGACTACTTCTGAGTGTGGCTGCAGCCTCCTGATAGTCATGCTGTTTCATGCAACCTTGATGTTCTCACCAGACTACATTAACATGGATCAAGGGAATGGAGATGAGCCCGTTATAAATAAACATGGGCAAGCATATTTCTTTTTAACCACTTGCCCACCTGAGGATTTACCCTCCTTTCTGACCAGGCCATTTTTTGCATTAAGGTGCTGTGCTACTATAACTGACAATTGTGCGGTCATGCAACGCTGCACCCAAATTAAATTTAAGTCCTTTTTTCCCACTAGTTGAGCTTTCTTTGGTGGTATTTGATCGCCTGTGTGCTTTTTATTTTTTGTGCTATAAAAAAAAAAAGTTTGACAATTTTGAGAGAAAAACAATATTTTTGACTTTTTGCTATTAAACATGTCCAGTAAAAAAATTAAAAAATCAAATTTGACATAAATTTACGCCAAAATGTATTCTGCTACATGCCTTTGCTAAAATAAATCCCAATACGTGTAAATTAATTGGTTTACGTGAAAGTTATAGCATTTGCAAATGGCGATATATATTGTGATTATTTTTTTAAAGTTTTACTAGTGTAGGGAACTGTATTTGTATACACTAGTTGTGGTTTGTTTACATTCATATACAGCCACTACCATAGAGGTCCCATTACAGACAAGTCCCTAGGGTGTGCTTCCTGCCCCTACAAGGAGGTCAAGAATCCTCAGGATGTTATATAGTTTGTTTTCCAGGAAGTATCAGGCAGAGGGTGCCAGCCTGCCATGTGCTGTGTATCTGGGGAGAACTGTATGGGGATTCTGTGAGTAATGATCCAGATTAACAAGGCTGCTATCTATGTAGTTGTTACTGAAGCAGATTAGGTCTGCTTCTGTTATATTTCAACTTCTGTCTTGGAACCCTAATATCTCTGAAAGAGATTTGTGGTTCATTATCATTATTCCATTTACACACTGCAGAATCCTTATAGTTGTTTATATATATATATATATATATATATATAGATCAGTGTTTTCACCTGCATAAGACTCAGGTGAACTTTCTGTTAATTGCAGTGCATCCTCGCAGCCTCTTTGCTTAACCACTTGCCTACCAGGCACTTATACCCCCTTCCTTACCAGGCCAATTTTCAGCTTTCAGCGCTGCCGCACTTTGATTGACAATTGCGCGGTCATGCAACATTGTACCCATATGAAATTTTGATCATTTTTTTCTCACAAATAGAGCTTCTTTTGGTGGTATTTAATCGCCACTGGGCGCTTTACTTTTTGCGCTATAAATTAAAAAAGTGCAAAAAATTTGAAAAAAAAAAAAAAAGTTTCTTTGTTTCTATTATAAAATTTTTCAAACAGGTATTTTTTCTCCTTCACTGATGTGCGTTGATGAGGCAGCACTGATGGGCACTGATAGGCGGCACTGATGGGCACTGATAGGCAGCACTAAAGGGCACTGATAGGCAGTACTAATGAGGTGGCACGGATAGGCGGCACTGATAGGCAGCACTAATGAGGTGTCACGGATAGGCGGCACTAATATGCAGCACTGATAGGCGGCACTGATAGGTGTCACTGATGATGGGTACTGATAGATGGCACTGACTGGCATCACTGCTGGGTACTGACTGGCGGCACTGACTGGCACAACCGCTGGGCACTGACTGGCGGCACTGACTGGCAGCACTGCTGGGCTGCACTGGTGGGTGGCACTGGTGGGCAGCACTGGTGGGTGGGCACAGGTGGGTGGCACTGGTGGGCACAGGTGGGTGGCACTGGTGGGCACAGGTGGGTGGGCACAGGTGGGTGGCACTGCTGGGCACAGGTAGGTGGCACTTCTGGGCACAGGTGTGTGACACTGCAGAGTGGCATAGGTGGGTGCACTGCTGGGCACAGGTGGGCGGAGCTAGTGGGCGCACTGCTGGGCACAGATGGGCGGAACTTGTGGGTGGCACTGCTGGGCACCAATCATCAGGGCACTGATCATCAGTGCCCTGATGATCGGTGCCGATCCTCGCTCTGACAACTGCCGGTTCTCGGCAGTACTTTCCTCACGATCTGACAGCGTGAGGAAAGTGCAGCCGAGAACCGGCACTTGCATTTCCCTGTGATCAGCGTGTCATTGGACACCGCTGATCACGTGGTAAAAGGCCGTTATGATCGGCCTTTTACCACATCTCGTGATCAGGTGTGTCCGTGGGACACAGCGATCACGGAGATCGCCGGGTGCGCGCCCCCTGGGGCGCGCAGGAGAGCGCGTTCTGTCATATGACGTCCACCCAGAACTGGCCGGCCGCAGTGAAGCCGTCATTCGGCTATCTGCGGTCGGCAACTAGTTAAAGCCATAGCACTCTTATTGGTCTGGATCTCTCTTTAGCTAGGATTAGCATAGGGAGTGTTGGATGGATTAGGCTAGAGGTAGGTTAGGCATCTGACGGCCACTTAGACAGATAGAGGCCCGGTTGCAGTGACAGCCCAGTTTAGGGATAGGGACTAAGAGTAAGGAGAGATAGGGCATTTTATCCTCTTAGGTGATGCATCGCTGATCATCAGACAAGCAGTGCATTCATCCGCATAGAACGTGTTACTTGGACGCCATCACAGCATCTAAAGTGGAAGCGTGCATCTTATTAACTCTCACCTCTCCAGGGGCCCTTGCAACCGGACTGCGCTATAACCCATGGTTGGAGGTATTCTGTATACACCACATGCACATATACCCGGGTATAATTGCAACCTCCCAATTTATGGTAAATTGTAATTCCTGAATGTTATTCTTATGCATCCTGTTTTATGTGGCTGCTTTATATAAACTTTGCATTAATCTCATACAGGTGTGGTGACATGTTTTCATGTTAGAAATATAAGCTGGGTGCATTAATACTGCTATGTATAGTTACTTTAAGTTGTCTACCTGTTACATTCCTAGAAAGGGGTGAGCCTCCTCAATTGCAGGATCCCTATTCTAGGTGGAGGCACTGCCATTTGTCTTATCACAACCCCCTCTTCCATATAGCGAAGGCTCAGGATTGCCTACTCATATACAGGTTAGCGCCATAGCTTGTTTGGTGTGGGCCATTTCACATAACCCCCCCCAAAACAGGGCTGCACTAGTAATGGTGGCGATCAGCGACTTATAGCGGGAATGCAGTGGACATTCTGACACTGGGAGGAACTGGCTTGGTGCCACTGACATCCCCAGTGAAACCAATACAGTGATCGGTGCTAAAAAAAAAAAAGCACTGACACTGTACTAATGGCACTGGGCAGGAAGGGGTTAACATGAGGGGCGATCAAAGGGTTAATTGTGTGCTGGGAATGTTTTAATAGGGGGCGGTGTCAGTGTTCTTCACTGTAATCACACTGCTTTGGATGGCTGTGCCGTGCCGGGACCTGGCAATTGACAGCCGCTACAGCAAGTGGCGGCGCGGGTAGGGCGCACGTGCCCCCTACCTGGAAATGAAAAAACGTGTATATATACGTGATTTTGCGCACTTGTGCGGCCCTGCAGCAGTATTTCTGCTATAGGGCGGTTGGGAAGCGGTTAAAGAAGGAGAAAAAAAGTCTCTCTCTCTCTCTCTCTTTATTTTCTGGGGGTACCAGAGTAAGTGGGACCAGCACCATGATTGCGGCTTTTCAGATGAGGAGGGGAGAGGGTCAAAAAAGAGCGAGAGTGCAGGGGAGGAAGTACAAAAGTATAGCAATGTAGCATACCTCCTAAGGAACTGCTGGTGAATTTGATCCTATTTCCACCTTATCGCACACACAGCCAGGCACACAGCATTTTCTTTATTCTTCCACTGGCTCAGAAAACAGAGTTCTCAGAGTTCTTTTTTAGGGTTTTTATTGGGAACGATGAACTGGGGTAAAGGGATCATGGAACACCCCGGAACTGTAAAACTAGATAACTTCAGGACATCTGAATTTCTGGCTGCCCTGTACAGAATGACTGATTACACTGCACAAACTGCTAAATGCCCCACAGGATCTCTCATGCTGTAGGTGACCTGTATTCCTTCCAGATTTAAACAAAGCTAAACACAGTCACTATTCCTCCAGCACTGAGGGTCAGCTATTCCCTGGATCATCGGTTGTCTCCTGCCAATATCCCTAGGCTCTTTCAAGTGAGGGAAATGTAGACTCACACCACCATAGGACAGCTGGACTCTTTCCCACCAACTTCCTCCTGGCTCTTTCCAGAGCTGCTCCAAACCTAACTTGATCCCTGGACTTGAACTTGCAAATAGACCCCCTATCTGAGACTATCTGGAACCTTGATGCCTTCACAAAAAGTTTCAACTTGACCCCGGGACTTGAACTCGCAAATAGCCCCCCAACTAAGCCTATCTGGGACCTTGATGTCTTCACAAAGGTTTCTCTAGCTCTCCTGCCCTGGGGGCAGAGCCCCTGCACAGGGCTTTCCTTCTGCATGATTGGACCCAGGAACACTGCACTCTGCTGCTCAGGCTTTGGACTACTTATGGGCTCTCTCACTACCTACTGCGCACACCTTCCCAGGAACTGGCTGGAGTTCCATAAATATTCAGGCTGCCTACTCTGTCCTTCCTCCTCCTATGTTTCTAGAATCCTCTAGAAGACAGGGGGAAGTAACAGAGCAGTGAAACACTGAGCAGCCCTGGCCAATCAATCCACTGCTCCTCTGATTATGAGGAGCAAAACTAGATTTTCCTAGCAGCATTCTCTATACTAATAGGCTGCTACAAGAGAAAGAGAAGATGGTAGAGCTTTCTATGAGGAGGTATATGCATGTCTCATTACAGTCACAAATCCCAAAAATAAGTGGTTTATTCCTCATTTCAGAACAGCATGCAGAGCAATTCCAGTTGGTCCACCTATTCAACAGGTTTACAGAACAGAGAGAGATAATGTGAGAGAGATAGAGAAAAAAAGAGAGAGTAAGCAAAATTCCAGTGATATATCTCTAGACCTACTACTGCAGACAGCATGGTCACTTGTTGATCTGACAGAATCCACAAGCATCTCAACTCTTCCAAAAGACACAGAAATTGAATCCAACTTAAAGCAGAGTTCCAGCTGAAAAAAAAAAAAAAAGTCAGCAGCTTCAAAAATTGTAGCTGCTGACTTTTAAAGTACAGCCACTCACCTATCCCTAGGTCAAGCGGTGTCCTCACCAAGGCTGGTTTCACCAACCGTCTTCTCTCCTCAGCACCGGCATTTTCAGTGACAGCTTGCAGCTTCACAGCCGGGTACCCACTGTGCATGCGTGAGAAGCGCTGCACTTTGTGAATGGCCCCGTAGTCTTCTTGGACCTGTCACATGTCCCAGAAGACTACAGGGAATGGGGGGGGGGGTAGGACAACTTTCGCTTCAGACCGCCTAGGCAATCGCAGCGGAAGTGGGAGCGGGTATTTGTCAAATTTGGGTACCCGCTCCCCCCCCCCCCCTTTCCCCAAAGGTGCCAATCCTTAATGAGGAGCGGGGGACAAAGGATTAAAGCGGAACTTCTCCTTTTGGGTGTAGCTCCCCTTTAACTTGCAATACAGAGGAAGTTTCCCCAGTCTATTGACGTGTATAGAGACAATGGCTTTCCTAAGCCCTGACTCTGCCATAGAAAGTGACATTAAACTGACCAGTATATGGCAGCTTGAACTGTACTATCACCAAACAGAAGGAAAAACAGCGGAACATACCAAGGGCACAAAAATAAATGGTCTGTTCTGGCTGCACAGGGAGAATGATATATAGAAACAATGCCTGATGCCCAGGAGAGATATTAGAGAATTATAGTTCTGTTACAAAGCACACTTTGCGGGGCTTGTTGAATTTCATGGAAATGGTTTATGAGATTAAAGTAATTTGTGTGACCTTGAGAAACATGTAGTGCCAATTCGAAGCTGGAGATGTAAATGCTTCCCCACCAGTGCTCAGAATAAAGGAGCAGGCATCCAGATGCACTAATCCAAGAGTGTCGGCATAAAGGGAATAGATCACCACTCAGTCGAGCCGATGGTCATTAAAGTGTTGGCCTCAATCAGCATTGCTCCACTGCCAAGCCCCTGATGTAGTTCACCCCACCGGGCCTAGTCATAGAGGTCATAGAGGTTATAGTCTATGGCTAAGCCCTGGTTGGTGGGGCGAAAATGCATCAGGGGGCTTGGCAGTGGGGCAGCACTGGCTAAGGCCAAAGACGTTAACGAGCATTGGGTCGGTTGAGTGTCATCCTATTCCTTTCATTTCTGGGACCTCACTGCTTTGCTACAGTTCCTTGGGTAATCTTAATAGTTCACAGATTTAAGTAGAACTAAACTCTCTTAAACACTTCCAGTCCGGACACTTTTACCCCCTTCCTGTCCAGGCCAATTTTCAGCTTTCAGCGCTATCACACTTTAAATGACAATTGCGCAGTCATGCAACACTGTACCCATATGAATTTTTTTTGCATTTTTTGAGACAGAAAAAACTTTATTTTGGTGGTATTTATTCACCACTGGGATTTTTATTTTGCTATATAAATGAAAAAGTCCAAAAATTTTGAAAAAAGTGTTTTTCTCATAAAAGTTTGCAAATAAATAATCTTTCTTCAGAAATCTTGGCCAAACTTCTTCAGTTATCTTTTTAGCAAAAAAAAAAAAATAACCCAAATTAGTTTATAAGCAAAAATTATAATTTTTCCAATTTTTTTTTACATTTTTATTTAATTTTTTTATATTATTATTATTTATTTATATATTTTTTATTTAACCACTTCTAGTCCGGACAATTTTACCCCCCTTCCTGTCCAGGGCAATTTTCAGCTTTCAGCGCTATCACACTTTGAATGACAATTGCGCGGTCATGCAACACCGTACCCATATGAATTTTTTTTAGCATTTTTTGAGACAGATAAAACTTTATTTTGGTGGTATTTTTTTTCACCACTGGGATTTTTATTTTGCTATATAAATGAAAAAGTCCAAAAATTTTGAAAAAAAGTGTTTTTCTCATAAAAGTTTGCAAATAAATAATCTTTCTTCAGAAATCTTGGCCAAACTTCTTCAGTTATCTTTTTAGCAAAAAAAAAAAAAATAACCCAAATTAGTTTATAAGCAAAAATTAAAATTTTTCAAAACTTTTTTTA